ACGCACACCACGCCCGCGGTCAGTATTTCCGCAGGTCGGTGATTTCCACCACCATGTCCATCGAGAGATCCTCACCGAGACGACTGGCTTTGGCGTTCATTGGTCATATGTGGAGTTCGACTGGCGTTTTTCTGGGATGTCCATGTGATCTGTTCCATCTGTGGATCTGTCAGGGTGTTGGAGCCGAAGTCGAACCCTTTTTGGGCAAAGTCTCCGTTAAAGGGACGATCCGTTCGGCGCCGATGTTCGTTTTACCGGTGACGGTGCATACGTCTTAGACTGTCCTGAGATCGAGAATTGGCCCGATGAGTCCATGCCTTTGTTGTAGGTCTCTGTTCCCACAAAGGGCTCTTGGGTCTCTGTGCCATCATCTCTTATCGCTTTGCAGAGTTTTCGGCAAATCTACGACGTCTCCAGCCGCTTCTACACTCTTGGTGACATGACTATCAAGAGTGTAAAACTCAAGCCAACTAACAGCGAAAATCATCCAACATACTATCATGCTGACTTCAATTAGACGGTGCTTGCACACGTCTAGCAAAACATCAGCCAGGGGCTTCAAGGGAACTTGAAGACAACAAATCGTGCTTGTTTTTCCTTTACTCTCTTATCGTCTGTTGCAGTTCTCTCAGGTTTTGCAGCTCTGAAACCTAAGGACCTGCAAAGATTGTGGGTCTTTGAACCTCGAATGTCTGGATTAAGAGCTAGACTGAACTGTGGCATACTGTGGCTGGCCACGAACCACTTCTAAATTGTCACATATTTTTCTAACACAGGCATCTTCGGGGGCTGAAGGCTTCTGAAGGGCACAAACTCTTCCGAAGGAGGTCAACAAGACTGGGCATGCCTTTGTCTGGAGATTTCTTCTACCCTGGCCCTCTACGCCAATTGCGATTGCGTATGGGGCCTCCTCCTCATCTTCTTCCTCCTCATCGAAGAAGTTGGCATGCATGTTTCCCAACAAGAAGCCATCTGCTGAAGCAGGGCAATAAAACTTCACCTTGGGAGGCAATCCAGAAGAACTTCACCATGTTTTTGGTGATGGTGGGAAAGGCGACCAAATGGACACCACTTGGAGGATTGTGACAGGTTTTCTTGTGGCTGGGCTGGTGGGGCTGGGCTGTGAAAGGAAAGCTCAAACATGCTCAAAGCTTTGGCTTTGGGGCTGTAAATGCTAACAAACACAAAGGATCTTGATACTGAACCTCTGCAGGTTGCTAGCCCAACCTCGCCCGTCAAAAGGGCTTGCCTCCCTGAAACATGGTCTGGCCAAACATGACGCCACCACGAGTGACAGACCTGGGAGACAAATGAATAGACATGCTGCATGGCCAGCGGAAAGGGGCGCTGGGGGACAAATGAATAGAAATGTTGCATCGCCAGCGGAAGGGCGGACACCAGCAGTGACAGACCTGGGATAGAAATGCTACATGGCCAACGGAAAAGGGCGGACACCCCCACAACCAAGAATGATCTGCCCTGGCATGCAACATGCAACTGAATTGCATTTATTGCTTTTGTGGGAAGGATGCTACCCCATCCTAAGCTCTGGCGTCAGCATGTGCCTTTTAGGACCGCCGGTCACTCATCTGCGGGGTTTGTTTGTTTGTTTGTTCCTGCAGACGGAGGAGATTCTTCTGGCCCTAGTTTCAAGGCTGCAGGGGGCGATAGTCCTTTTCCAAACGGCCCAGCGCAAAGTCCTTCCCCCTTTTGGCCGAAATTCATTGGGCATCTCTTTCTGAAGGCGCTGGCCAGCATAGCGAGCATTCACTAAGTCCTGCGATTCGCTGCGATTCGCGAGTTCAAAGGAACTGATGAACACAACCAGTGGCCATAGCAGCTAACACAAAGCCATCTACACCATCTACTGTGCCAAAAAGGGATCACCCGGTTAAAACCCAAGCGCCGCACCGGTTTTTCCGCCGCACCGGACCCCGGACCGGTCGAAGCCACCTGAATCCAAACGAGGACCTTCTGGGAAGACCGAGGTTCCTCAGGTCAGAAGCCGCCGACGTCAGGTTCGTCCTCCGGTGGGTGTGTTGTCCTCCGGTGGGTGAGAAGGAAGGTCACCAAGGTTTTTGAACATGTTGTGCTTATGAACCATTTTTGTAGGTTAACCATTCAAGGAATGCTGAAGTTTGATGTATGTTGGTGGATCCTCTGAATGGCCAGCTTGATGAAAGGAACTTGTTGTTGACACATGCTGACATAGGATGCAGTGAAAGAGTTTCATCACTTTTCTCTGGGCAGAACACTACCCTGGCTGTTCAAGATTCCAAACATCCCTGTACACCGTGGAGGTCAGAAAAACCTGGTGACCTTGCAAGCCACAACTTCTGCACCTTGCACCTGAGGCCGGGTGCAAAGGAAAGCCAGGTACAGGAGGTACAGGAGGGTACAGGCAACGGGGGACCGTACCAGCCTCTCAACAGCCACACCGGCCATTCATACGAGTACATACTTACATATGGATCCATCACATGGAAAATGGATGAAGATCCAAATTTCTCACCCATTGGCAAGGCCTGTGCTACACCGTGCTACACGCTCGCTGACGTCAGGGCACCACCCACTCCAATAAGTTGGGCAATCGCTGGGTCCTCAGCGCAGCAAACGCGCTGCCGCGCGTCACGTGCAGACGTCCGGAACCTGCCTCCGCTGGGGTTTCCGGAACCCCCATTTATAGGGACCCCTGCCGTTCGGTCTCGTTGTGCCGGGGGGCACTTTCCATGCATGGAAGAGACATGAAATCCCTCGTCATCCCTGATTAAACGAAGGCTTCGGAGATCCTTCGCGGATTGTGGGGAAGTGTTACTGAATACATAAGCACAACGAAAAAGGCACACCAGGGAAATGAAGAACATGTTGGTCAGCTTGCCCAGGCCTAAGTTCTCTTGTGACCTGGGTTCGAACAACCTAGGAGCAACCGATCTTGCCTTTCAAAAAGAAAGGGACGGCCAAGTCCTGCTACAATCTGCTAGATACAGTAAGTGCTGGAGATCCTTTTTTGAATATTCCTTTCGAGCACTTGATGTTTGATTTTCATGCTTGCTTATTAAAGGTACTTGGCATGAGAAGATAGACTGACAAACGCACTGCGATGAAGCAATCAACATATAAAACCATTGTGATGATCTCTATCCGTGTCATCCACCGAGAAGGCCTTCAAGTTCAACCAGCAATTGTAAGACATTGATAAACCATGATAAACAACCATCAATGCAAATATCAAAGAGCTCAACAGATCTCATCATATCTCAACATACGTACTGTAGTAATACTCATCAGCACCTGATCGTCGGCTCAGCTGCGATTTCGAGTTTCACATCGAATCAAAACGCCTCCGAAACCTTCATCATGCGCCCCAAAGCACTTCTCGTCTGGCAGCGGTGCAAAGTCCAAGCAAAGCGATTTCACCACGAAGCCTGGATGCGAAGCGATGTTAGGCGAAGGGCGCCGGAGTGGGCCGTGGGTTCGGTCCCTTCCTGTGGTGACCCACCTTGATCTATAAGACTCATGACTCATGAGATCTCATGAGTCACCACAGACTTTTGTTTCAGGACTGCATGGATCTTCGTCATCCGATGCGCGTGTCTCGCGTGTGTTTCATGTGCCGCGCCGTGTTCAGGGGCCATCCCGTCCACGCAGAGTCGAGCGCTGCTGATCTCTTCCAGATCCCTCAGTCGCCGGTCGGTTCTTCTCATTCCATCGGAAAAGAGGACCTGCTTGGATCCGAACATATGACCTGCAATGACTGGAGGAACAGGAGCTAACACTCCACACAAACGGTGTGTAAGATGTAACAGCTGGATTCTGATTCAGAATGAACTGGGATCAGCTCACACATATGTTTCAACCTCTCAGGGCGATTGATATGACTTTGGGGTGAGGTCTCCGAAGCTTCTAAACGTGTTCATCAGTTCGAGGCCCTTCGTTTTTTGGTGTCGGCCCCAGCCCTTGCGAAAGCCCAAACGTCTGATTCTCCCAGGAGGTTTGATCCTTGAAGGTGCGGAGCTCGCAACATTCTGCCTTCCTCAAGCAGTTGCTCTTAAGAACAGTGTCCATAAGCTACTAGGAACAAGTGCCACGCTAGTAGTAACAAGTGCCTTACTAGTAGTAACAAGAAGCTAGCAGTTGCTCTTGGATCTCGACTTTTCCAGCTCTGACTTTTGCAGAGGCGTCTCCTAGACCGCGGAGCTCATCCGCTCCTGCGATCGCCGCGGGCCGCCGCTCACTTGGTGTGACGGTACACCAAGGCTTCCTTGCCTTCCTTGCCACGGCAACATGGAGAGACTGGTAGCAGCATGGAGAGGGTGGCATCAGCGGTTGAATAGATGGTTCCGGATGATAAGACATGCCAATCGTCCATTTTTGAATGTCGAGTTTCTGACATCAACAAACAAACCATGCGCTTCACTGCAACCCTTGAAAGCCCGCTCAGACATATCCCAAGCGCCGTTCGGCGCCCTATCCAAAACAGAGTCCCGGACAGTGACACAGTCCACAAAGCCCAGGCAAAGACAAAAAACAAACCACACCAATCTCTTCCAAGCCAAGTGATCTCAGTCAGCTAGTCAGTCACTCACTCACTCACTCAAGCACAGCGCTGAAAACATGCTTGAGGTCTGCACACATGGAGAAAAAAACATCCACCCATCACCGTGGTGGCGCCCAAGAATCCCACTGGACCCCCCCCCCCCCAAAAAAAAAGGTACCTCTTGGGGTCTGTGCCTATCTACTCTGATGGCCCACTGTAAACATCTCCCAACCTCATCAAATCCCAGACCGTTCCGCTCTGTGCGCTCCCGCAGAGCGCGCGCGCTCCGAGCCGGGCGTCCGTGGGGTCCCACTGCTCCACGTGCGCTTCAGGATTCACGCGCCCGGCCGCGGCGACCCACATGAAACCGCCAGAGGCGTCAGGACCATAGAGCCGTTCGCTGGGAACTCCACGGGTATCCTTCCGCAAGAGCTCACCTCAGAGCGAAGAATGGGAAAAACCCTTAAAATGGGCATTGCCAGTGGGTTTGAGAAGCCATCGCTATTAGGTTGGAGGCCATCGCTGTTCGGTTGGAGGCCATTGCTATTAGGTTGGAGGCCAACCACTGTCGCTGTCGGCATGTGTGGTGGCAGTTTGTGGTTTGAGGTGTGGAACATGTCCAATCCTCAAGCCCTAAATGGATTCTGGGATTTCTGGGGTTGTCTAAGAACATTGGCAAGCTAACTCCCACTCTACACATCTTGTCTCCTTCAGGTCGGCTTTCCCAGGCGCTCTTATTGGACCGGAAGGCGACCTCCTTCTCCAGAACCTCTGGCACCGTTCGCGCCAGGAACTCGTGTACAGCGTCGCTCCAAACCCCCGCACCACTGAGCTGCAAGGTGTCTTGGAGTTTCCAGCTGTAGCGTTGCCGCACCAGCTCCTCACTCTCGGCACCCCAACCCAGCCCGAGACTGGGAGGGAAAAGCACGGTGCGGAACAATTTTGTAGTGCCGGCTCAAGTGAAAGAAACAACACCAAAGAAAAGGGCCGAAGGAACTTGTGATGACCAACCATTTTGAACCAAACCTCTAAGAGTGTACAATCAAACAATGTAAAGAGCACACAATGACAAAACCAGTTGTGCAAATATATGCAAATATCAACAACCCTTTACATGATCTACACATTTCATCGCATCTATGCGTGAATGGCTTCTAGGCAGTCTGAGTCTATGCATGAGACATGGCACATATTGGCACATTATGGGGCGAGAAAGTAGCAGCTTCTTATTTTTGGGTCAAGTCCGGCACAACATCTTTCTGGACTTGTGCCAAATCGAGCTCGCTTCGGAACCTAAACCGTCAGCCTCCCAACCCTCCCAAATCGGAGTCTCCATACATCGCAGCAGGACTGGATTCCCAGGAGCTGAGGCCAAAAACCATTGCCTGGGCTGGGTTCAAGAGGTTCAACAGGGCCAAATGGCTAAACCTGTGACTCCCTTCAAACGAATGAAACATCGGCGAACACCATGAGACCTGGATAGACCGGCCCATGACCCTGTGCCACCTGTTTTGTAGCGCTGGAACAGGGCTGACAGTCCGTCAGCACTTACTCCCTCTCAAAAACATGTCGGATTTCAAGGTAAATCACCAACCGTGCTGTGGCCAGGAATCTTTCAGAAGATCTACGGTTTGCAGCAGAACTTCACTGACTAAGCTGCCCAAAAGCACTTTCATCTTTGCTCCACCCAGCCTTTTCCACCACCTCTAGCAACCGGGCTTCTGTGGCAAAACATGCCAAAACCCAACCGCCTGACGCGCGCAATCGCGGTGTCCGTGTGCGACCTCCGAAACGATCTCGGAACCGAGCGGCTCGAACTGCTCGGTGCGGGCGAACTGGAAGAGCTTCCGATCCTCCTCCGGAAGGCGATGTCCGAACTCGTAGCCCGCGATCATCGTCGCTTCCTCCGCGAGAATTTCGTGCGGGTCGTCGAGGTTTGGGTTTTGCGGTGTTTGGGGGGGAACCGGGGAGGGATTTCTTTTGGGCGGATTTGGGTGGCTGGTTCAGAGCTCAGAAATGTGAAGGCCAGGATGATGGTAGGATGACAGTGGTATTCAGGTCACTTCACGACGACAACCGCCCGCACCGTCTGCCTCGAGAGCGAAAAAGAGAGAGAGAGAGAGAGAGAGAGCGCGCGCGGGCACGCAAGGAAAGGCAAGTCATGTCCAAGCCACCCTAAATGATACGTAACCGAATGAGCAGGACTCCCGAGCGCCGATGTTTATTGAATAATTTAATTATTTAAGGATGTTAAACTATATTGTAAATATTGTAAATATAGTTTTAGGATGTTTCAGGCGAATCCAAGACCCTACACACCCTAAATCACATGTCAGAAAGTCATAAAGTAAGTCAAGAAGCACCAAGTCGAAGACTTTCAGAAAGTCAATAACATTTCCATATGCAATATCATGCATATTGCAAAGCTTAATGTAATGACTCTAACTTTGACCTTGACATTTTCAGGGGTCCAACTTATACCATTCACCTCTAGGTCATATATCGATCCTGCATATTGTCTACTTTTTGTATATAATGACCATTTACCGACCTAGAGATGTCAAATAGAATCACTACAAAAAGTTTACCGTAGCTTGATCTCACAAACGCCTCAGTATAGCATCATTTGCATCATTAGGTTCATGAAAGACATACTAACGATTCCTTTCAACAGTTTGGATCATGTATCACTACAAGCATCCCGCTGCCTCCACATTAAATATTGCAAGCCTTCAATTGTCCTTATGTTTTGCATGTTTTGTTTCACTACCACTTCCCCTCCAAACAAACCTCATGGCAGGATATGCATTTCCCTACCCACCCAACAAAGTACGGATAATCACGGGCCTCAGCACCTTGGGTGCGGGCGGCGTCGAACGGACTTCCATTAATTAGGAGGCTAGTAGTAGCAAATGCTCAACCCGCTAGCCTCTGCCAGCAAACTACCAGATGGGCCCAGTTCTCCTGGAAGATTTTCTGACATGCAATGTGCCGCTGAGCGTCATTCGGGATGCCCCACTCGTCGATGGGCTTCATGCATTCCACGTTGGCATCTGCATAGTAGCCGCCTTCCTTCCACAGGACCAAATACCGGAAAACATCTGCCCGCTCAACCTTAGATGTCTCGAACTGAGAAGAGCCAGCAAATATAGCCGTTTTCGGACTTTCTGACAAACACTTAAACAATTTGTTCAAACACTTGTCAGCTTGTTCCGAAAGCAGGCCAAAGGTCCTTACAAGCCCTCCTCCACAATCAAAAGGTGCTACTAGTACCTCCTGATCCATCAGCACCATGCAACTCAAGTGTTTTTGGAATATCTACTGGAGCATTCATGCTGGTCTCCGGCCATCCGGCGAGTGACGTGGGTAAGCCCAGGCCAAATAGGCCACAGCAACTGGTCCGAATTCTGCTGGACAAACTTCTCAACTTCCTCGTCCTTCCTGGCCATGCAGCATGGATGCATACTGTATATATAGTAATTGTATATGCACGCGTTGAATGGGTTGTAAGAGTTGTTGAGAGTGAGCCGGAACTCGGCTCGTGCTCCACCCTCCAATTCAGCGTGTTCTGCGGGAACCAAAGGTATCCAAGCATCCCAAGCAGCTCCGAAATCAGTCGTTTTGGGAAAAGCCAGGAATTGGCGGAGAAACTGGTGGAGATCTTCTAGGTCTCAACAACTCTTGAATTTCTTCTCTTCTCTGTGGAACACCGGCTGCTTTTCTTTGGGCCGAACCATGACCTCGAGGTCTGAGCTGCCAAGGTTCCAAAGCTTATGCTGGCACTGGGGGTTCTTCTGAATCCAGGTCTCTACCTGAGTCCGTGATCAAGTGGGTCCACCAAATGGATTTGGGGGCACTCTTCAAAGGTCTGCAAGAGCTTGCGGTAAATGAGGTCTTTTTTCAACACTATGTTTTTTTTGAAATACCCACTACTACTATCTTCCTCTATTTTGTCATACCGAGGAACCCACTTGGCCTCCGAGTCATTGGTCAAGCCCGTCTGATGAATGGAGCACGGGATTGACGTCAAGTGGAGCTTGCTGGTTTGGAGCAACGATGTGCACTGGCCCCGGGTCCGCAAAGCCCGCAGCAGCAACAGGAGGAGCAGCTGGACCAGCATGGCGTGGCACGGCACCCGCTGATGGCACAGCACCCGCGTTTGAGCCGGGAGCGGGGAACCTGTCGGTTTCCCCGGCCCAACACCTTCAAGGACTCCTGAGCTATTGTATATAGCATACAGTAGGTCTTTAGGGAGTTGCATCACTTCCCACTTTTACGCAAGGGCTCTGGTTTGGAGTTGGTGGAGAAGTTCTTCTGCTGTCTTCAAACAATTGTCACCTCTTCAGGACCAATCAAGATAATCAAGGTAATTAGTGTTGAAGCCAATCCATTGACCATAGAGATGTTCCATTGCATGATAGATCGATCATGACATGTTGCCTCTTCAAGTCTGGAGGGCGCTGTGTAGCAACCACTCAGCAGAAATAACCCAACCAACCCGTGCAAAAACCATGCCGTCAAACAAACAAGTGACGAACAAATGGGATTTCGGATCCATCAAACTGTTTGATTCTGTGGTCCAACATGAAACACATTAAACTATAACTATATAGGCCCTTTGCACTGCAGTGTCACCCATTCTTGCAGCCAAAAATCTGGAAGAACCTGCTGCTCACACTCTTGGCATCGTCAATTCCGCGTGCACTCACATTTTCCGGTTGAGCACTACAGCCCAGGAGGAACCTGGGGGAAGCAGCTCAAAAGGTGGGACTCAATGAAACCCAAGAAGGTAGTGGCTCCATTCCTGCCGTTCATGCCTCTCATACCAACCTGTGGGTGTTCCCTAACTACCGAGGAAGTTAATTCCCATTCTTCCTTTATTTGTCAACCAATCTTGGACTGAAATTCATGGGTCCATGACCCTGTGCGCCTCACGAATGTGCAAACCTGAGGCAACAAACCACTGCAACCTTAGGTTACAGTAGTCCTTTTGATCGTTTGGGGTGTTGCACAGGTACACGTGGTATGCTGTACAAATTCAAGCTGATTTACCAATTCCCTACTCAATACCTGAAAACTACTGAAAGACACCTGCTGCATTTCACTCTGCAGCTGCATTCTTGCTTTGCCCTGCTAACCAAACTTGTCTCGCCTTAGGCTTGAGTGGCCCTCCATCTACATCCCAGCGTCACTTGCCAAATGAGAAATCTGCTACCCTGGTGTCATGCACAAAGTACACATACATACGTACGTAGAAGCGATAGGCTTTCAGAAAAACAAGGCTTTCCGAGAAGCATGTTTCCGAACAATCGCCAAATGCGGCCAAATGGAGATGGCTTTCAAACGACACTTGACCCAAACGACACTTGACCCCGGTCTTCATTGATACGCTTTCATCCGCAATCCCCATTGACTTGCGATGAACGTCTTAAAGTGTTTCTCGAAATCAACTCCCCCCAGGTGAAAAGAACAGCTGCCTTGAGGAGATGCAGCCTGCCAAAACAAGTGATCCAAAAAGTTGAGCCATCAGCATCCATGGGCCATAGTGTCACACCAACCCAGCGCTTTTTCATGCTTTTTCCATTCTATGTTAGAAGGAGGGAGTGTAGACAATTCTTTGTGCTTGGGCGGCTGACAAAGCACCATTTCAGACTTGATTAAAGGTCACCTGCGCTCCACGGAACTTCATATCTTGTCCACTCTCGTTGGCCTTGACCAAGTCCTGGGGAAGCGAGGGGGGGCCTGGCTGGCCCTGGGGCCCTGCTGGCCCTGGCTGGCCCTTTCCCACATGGGGGATACTGCCTGCAAGTCGTTCCGTAGAAACATAGGGTCGAGCAATCTATCCGAGCATCAAAGTGAAGGACCAGTTGCTTTCACTCAGCCTGCTGGGTCTCTTTCCAGGCTTTGTCTCAATCAGCTGGAATCATTTCATGACCCGCAACAAGGGCCATGCGACGATTCGTTGGATTTATTGATCACAACACATGGTGGATGGGGCTATCATGGGCTATCCACCATTCCGCCAGCCCGTCAGCGTCAACTGTCGGATGGAACGGCATTCTGGGCCTTCAATTTCTGTCGTGGGCAGGTCACTGTCTGCTCAGCTTGAACACTTTTGAACATTGGGAGCCAGAACCGAAGACTAGCACACTTTCGAGGGCCGCGGCTTGTTGACCCCATCTCACATGCACGCCCTTCGGTCCTTTTCCCGTTGGTCTGCCGTCAGGCCTGTGGCTGCTGAGAACACTGCGCGTGCAGTGGACCTTTTCACTGCTGTGGTTCCAATTGCCAGTGCGAAACCAGAACAAATCCATGGACTACGACACTTCCTGGTTCCTTCCCTTTGAATGGGCTGATTTCCTGCATCTTGGAATGGGGAGAAGCATGGAGAAGCTATGAGAAACTCACCATCCAGCAGCCTGTCGCTCGGGCCGCTCGGTGGCCTAAGAAGTGGGCATCTGTGAGCCCCAAGCGGTCCGCGATCTTCACGTGGAAGAGCTCTGCATTCACCGCACCTTGCGCTGTCTGGATCTGAACCTTGGGCTGTCCGCGGTTGGGCCGGGGAAAGAAATCGGATCTCCTTTCAACACAGGGGTGATGGATGTCCAGGAGAATGCTTGTCTTTCGAAAAACCACCTGGGCTGGTACAGGTCTTTGAACAAACAAGTAGCTCTGTGCATGTCCGCCTGAGCAAACATGATTTGGTGGACCTTCTTGGTGGTACCCTCCAGGAGCCTCGTGACAGCGGGAGATGCTCGTCCTTGTTTGACGTGCCGCCAGGGTGGTGCTTGGACATACCAAACTAAACATATCACCCGGTTCCAATGCAACAATCAAAACATTGAAGGATGCCACACAAATCTCACAAAAACCTCCAGGTTCCTGGGTCGTGCACCATTTTTTCCAACGGCAACGGGGCATGAACACCTGCACGCTGCCCTTCTGCAGCGCAAGTACGGTGTGACTGGAAGACTCAGCCGTAGCAATCAGGCGCTTATTACGCGCAGCGAACTGTCAAACAGCACCTTGCTCACGGCAATTCTTGCTTCATACTGCAGCCAATCCCATTAGTCTTTTCACTGTTTCAGCACTGAGGACGTTTTGCAGTACGAGACTCCACGACATGTGCCGGTCATTGACAGCGCGCCGGTCCCCTCAGGTGCCTGGCAAACCCGAGTCCAGAGAGTCCCTGTCCGAGACTCGCCTGGATATTTGGTGGACAGGGGTACGATGTCATTGGAAGTTCTGAAGAAATCTCAGCAACCCACCTGGAGAAGCCAAGAGAAGCCAGACCAACGGCCTACGGTCTCCTCACCAACGACGACCAGGGGCATGTGTAAAAATCGGGCACGCAAATACGGCCGTTGCAAACGGTGAAGCTCATTGTTCTTCAGCAAACGGGCGATTCAAGAAACTGCCAAACATATACTGTACTGTAATATGTATAGTGAAAAGATTGTGATGATACTTGTGGATACATGCGGTTGGATTTGGACAGGGAGATCCGTTCTAGTTGGAAGGGGTTTAGGGGATACCTGTATTAGTACTTATATGATCTTATATGTAATTATCCGACTGTGCAAATTGAGTGCGGCACAGTGAACAAAGCGAACGAGCATCAAAGGCATTTTTGCGTTTGGCGGGACCTAAGAAAGGCCTTGTTCAATGAAGATAATGAAGGTCGTTTGGTCGCTTGTTGTCCCAATGCCCAAGGGTTTGGGACGTTTGGACCACCAGGTCTGCTGCGCGTCGTCGTCACAGCCGTACCACCCACAGCAGCTGGGGCTTTTCCTTTCGTAGCGGGTTCGCTTGGCTGGTCAGGGCCGCGCACAGGTCAGGGCCGCGCCTCGATGGAGTGGTCGGGAGTTCGGAGTTCCATCACCCCCCAAGCGACAGATTTCATGCTCTTTCCATGTGCATGTCCATCGAATCGGGAGAACGGTTTTGGACTGGATGCCGCCTGCCCGGCCTCATCCTCTCAGTGGCCGGTATTCTGAGATTTTCTGCCGGAGGATCAGCTTCGCCTCAACGTAGGGGTTGTTGAAATGACATGCGTTCCCGGTCTATCTGACTGCCATACTTTAACTGGTGAGAACCGGTGGAGGTGAAAGTCTAAGAATTTCAAACAACAGCCCCACCCTAGGAACAAGGACGCTACTAGGATCTACTAGGAGCTTCACTTCCGGAGCTGCTTTTTCGCCCCGACATCTGTGTTCGTCACCTTGGCAGTGCCCTCCTCGGTGCCGTAGATGTTTGCCATGCCTCACGGGGCGGCCCGTGGCGTTTCGCGCGAGTGGACGACTAGAACTAGAGGAATCATGAGGACTTCCCTTCCTGGAAGCTGATAGCTGCTAGCTCCCCACTCCTGAGTGGCACACTCCTTGGCACGGCCAAAGTGGGCTTTCCAGTGGTTCCACATGCGACTAATTATGATGACCTTGTGTGACCTCCGCCGACTTCACTCGGCTTCTTTCCCTTCTTACCCCAAATCACGGGCTTTCTCCCCGAGATTTCGGCGCCCTTTTCGCGGGAAGAAAGGACCGAAGAGGCGCCGGGGTCCGTTTCGACCGCGGTTCTCTCCCCAACGTTCGGAGCTTCGACCCTCCGGCGAACCGCTGTCGCCAAGCAGCTGTAGCCGAACTGCTTCGTGGACTGATCGATCTGCGTGGAGACGCCCGCGGCTGCGTTGATGGCCGCCAATGCCTGACCTCCCTTGCCTTGGACGAGGTGAAGGAGGACATCAAGGGAAAGCTCAGGAGCTCACGGGTGTGACGTTGACACAGAAGCCTCAACTAGGCCGCCTTCATATCAAACGTCTAAGCTGACAAGATGGAAGCACGAAGAAGCAATTTGCACACCCCGAACGTGATCATGGTAAATTCAATTGCGTGTTTGGGATTTCAGATGCTCACTGGAGGAGTGGGCTTGTAAGGAGATACAGCTGCAACACACCTGTGGACACATCCGAGTCCCCAACCCCGCGCAGAGTCACTTCCAATGTGAGCACCAAGCATGGCAGCAAGGCAACCCATTCAACAGTTGCGTTTACTGACGTAGCCGTCTTTCGCATGAATGGCCGCCAACCCAGGAGGAAGCATGAGGGGAGCCAGGTCTTGCCTTCGTTTGAGGTCGCTGGGCAGGCAGCGTGACGAACCGAACAAGGAACGGCCCGACCCGGTCGACTGACATCCGGAAGATGCCTCGATGTTTCTACCGTTTGCTCTTTTACTACCAGCATCCGATCGCTCCGTTCGTAGCGATGCCAGGAGCCCCGTTCGTAGCGTCCTTGCTCCTAGTAGTAAGGCCAGGAGCACCTAGTAGCTTCTGGTTACTATTTGTAACTGGCATCGTTGGGACTTGTGTAGAACATCGGAGGTCCCAACACTCCTTATCTGTTGCCCAGAAACCGATGAGGTACGCCACGCATTTCTGCTCGATGACTTCAGTACCTCAAGTACAGCATCCCAAACGACCAATCTACTGTACGCTGTGTATAAAGTGGGTTCAATCAATTAATATATTAATGCACCCCGTGTTAACATCTGAGGGAAGCACTTCAAACAAAGAAATCAATGAATCATCCGTGTCCACAGATTCCAAAGAACAGCCACGTGCAGATCGAGGCCTAGCCTATACTATATAATTCTTAAATAAGAACGAGGAAATCCACACTCCTTGTTTCAGAAAAAAATGCTGGCTTTTCTGGTGCCATCATGTGACACATGGATTTGGCCATCCTGTCGTCTATGTCATCCCCTTGAACGGCATCCGCAGCTGAACCCTGTCGCCCTTCGCCGTCACGTCTCGGCTCCCAGAACCGGGGTCTGTCACCCAGTGGATGCTTCGATGGATGCAGATTGGCTGTCCCATGAGTATTTGTTCCTGCGAAAATACTCCGCGAAAAAGCGGAAGGGTGTCTAACCTTCAGTGATTCAGTTTTTGATGTGAGTAGTAGCAAATACCGAAAACAACCCAAAGGTTCCAAGAGTACAGTACACCTAAAAGTTCTCATCCCCTTCTCAATTGATCTCGCCTGTCCCCTCTCATCCAGTAACACTAAAAATCAAAAACATTGGCTCTGCGATGTTCTGGGTCTCTTTCTGGCTTGGTGTTGTTCCATGTCTTTCCATGTCTTTCTGGCTTGGAAAGCCACCAGTGGTAAGCCGCTGGTGAACCTGATGCCAGATTCCAACTCAACCAAAAACTGCTAGCTGATACAAGTAGCTGATAGCCTCATTAACCTCTTTTAGGGAAGCATAATCTAAGTTTAAGTGATAACCTCCCCCCCTCCCAGCTTCTGATGTTTCTCTAGCCAGCACCTCATCTGATGAAACAAGCAGCCTTCCAAACTATCTTGGCATGCTTATGGCTATGATTGCTCTGGCATGGAAGCCCCAAAGGACAAACCACTTTCTCATCTACTTAACTACTTATAGCACCCCAGTACCAGCACTGCAGGGAGCAAAGGTCGCTAGCCGCTAGACCCTCAAAAAGGCCTCTGCAAAGCAACAACACTTCAGAACCCTAGAATTTTCCCACCATTGGGCTTGAACATGTCTTGGGTTTCTTGCTCAAGATTGCTCAAGGGTTGCCAAGTCGCTCACTTGTTGTCTGTATGTTGTTGTGTTTATTTTTTTCTCACACCGTTCGCACCACTTGTGCCGTCGCTTTCGTTGCCCACCTGTCCCGCTCGCATCTGGGCCCCTCGGCCGGTGGGGAGATCTGGCGGCCCTCGAGGGATCTTTCCGCTGTCGCGCATGGCCTCGAGGCCTGCCTGGAGGAAGCACACCGCGTGGAGGGAGCGCGCGGTAACGCGACTGTGCCGCGGTGAACACGCGTTGTTCGGCCATAAGGGGAACAAGGAGGGTGCGAAAAAGCAAGTTGTTGGGTAAGGAACTCCCAACAGCTCCTTGACTCCCTGGGAACATAGATGCCCACCAGCTACGGTGGAGTTTGTTTTGAGGAATCACCCTTGGCGCAGAAGTGGGCATCATTGTCCAGTGGGCTCCTCCAACAGTGTCTTGCTAGGACATACAGTGACATACACAGGTTCTGTTTCAACCTATCCAGTTGCACCCAGTCAAGTGGTGACTCTTTTCTTCGTGGTGGAGAGAACGGGAAGGCAGTCTTGACGCCTTTGCAGTTCACTGGTGGGATACCTCAAGCAACGCACGATCGCACAATCGCCTTTCCAGGCTCGCGCAGCCTGATGTGATTGCCGACTCGAACAAAAAGTACAGATCATCAGAAGGACGCATCTGATGACATTGATCATCTGGATCCATCTGGCACAATTTTATACCACCATGCGGCGACTAAGCGACCATGTATCTAAACAAGCGACTCTTTCCAACAGATCCAAAAGATCTCCAAGCCTCTGGTTTTCAGGTGTTTGAACTCTCCAGTTTTCCCACCTTCCTGACCCATGCCCGGATTTCCAAAAATCTTTCATGTATGAAAAGAAGGCAACCCATGACAACCCAATAAAACATACACTGGGGGAACTTCAGGATAAAAGAGTTTCACACGGTCACCTCCAGCCCACTCCACCTTTCCAAGCTTTGCCGAGCCTTCTCCACTTGCTGTGCTCGGAACACGGCTGCGGCCAGCGCCTGGAAGAATGCAAAGAACAAAACAATTCTGTCTGAGTCTAGCTGCAAACCTAGCTGCCTATCCACTTCTTTGCAAACACATATCAAATTGGCCTATGTACATGATCTCACCGAAGACATGTTTCTTTTGTTTTTTAAGGGTTCGTTCCACTTCCGTGCCTGCGGAAGTCTGGACCAAAAAACGCACACGCACACACGTCTTTCACATACGTCGCAAGCCAAGCGCCTGCATTGATGCATCTGCGTTTCACCCCTCAAAATTGCTTATATACTCTAGGGTTCACTCAGTTGCTCGACATCCTAAGTTGTGCCCCGGTGCTTGGGATGTTGATGGATCTCACCCAAAAACCCTCAATAGGAACAGCTATGGCAGAATCCAAGCGAACCCACCTTTGGTAGATGGGTATGTACAAATACACATATATAATCACACACACATGTAAATAAATATATATGTATATTATATGATTACATATTATACAAACAATTTTATATTATTGTATATAGTTCGAGCAACAAGAGTACAAAGTGGCCAGTAGCGGCATGTAGCTTCTGGAAAAGGCTAGTAGTCTGGGCTAGTCGTCTGGTCCCAAAGACTCTAAGACCGTGTCTCCATTCTCAAGGTGCATAGTTATCATTAGCTATCATTAGTAGCTATCAACCTGACACCCAAGAGTAGTAGTTGCTAGAGTTAGAGATTTCGATCGGTTCAGAAATCGACCCAGCACGACACTGTTCAATACCATCTGAACACTCTCTAGGCTCTTTAGGCCCATCTGACCTCCCCCCCTTCTCCCCGGGCACGCCCGGAACTGTCGTGCCTCTGGCGTAGCCTCTGCGATGCCGAAACGGTTCACCGGCACCTCAGCGGGCTGTGAGTCACGGTTCACGCAGTTTTCCAGGCTCAGTATGGAACACTAGATGATGTTAGCTAGTAGCAAGTGCATCGCTACTAGTAACAAGAAGCTACTAGTGGCTAAGTACCTAAGGGCACTACTACTAGCTCAATTCCAAAGCCTAAAAGCCCTTTTTCCATCTCTTCCTTTTTCAAGGTCTGGGAGTCGAGGCAACCGGCACTTCCTCGCAAAGAGTTGGTGCCCTCCCTTGCGCTCGTCAAACGGATAAGGACACCGCACCAAGATCGTCCACCGGGCTTCGGCGGAATCGAAGCCAAAAACGCGGGGATGTTCAACAAGGGGTAAATCCTCCTCGACGTCATTCGGGGCGTGTCAAACAAATAGTTCCGCTGGAAAATCGTTTTCTGCTGCACCTATATGCCAACCCGCTCTCTCTCTCTCTCTCTATATTGGACACTCCCATAGACACAAAGACCGTGTTCGACACTCCATTTGGTGATGGTGATCCATGTTGGAAGGAGAGGACAGGTCCTTGGCCTGCAACCCGCATCTCAATTACTAACTCTTAGAACAAACACATACAAAAACAACCCCGAAAGTACTTGTCAATACCTGTCATCCCTCTCATCTTTTTCGTATCTTCTTTCAGTATGGAGGCCGCCAATGTAGGGAGAGGCACGTGTTTAACAGTGTTTCCAAGGCATCTGAGCCCCCTGACCGGGCCGTGCATGCCAGCTGGTCGGCCGGTCTGGCCAGGTGGCAGGGCAGGTCGGGAGGGCCTCAGCGAAATCGAGATTGGAGCAGGGCGAGCCCAAAGACTCCCTGACAAAAGGCAAAACTAATAGCATCTAAAAACATACACCCGGGAAGATGAGCGAGATGAGCTTCGAGTCCGGAAGTGGCACAGCCCATTTAGGCAGTGCGTAACCCAGGAAGATTAAACCTGAAAACCACTTGGTGTCCATTGAGGTTTATTTTCAGGTTCCAAAATTGAATCTTGCCGGGTGTACTAACACGTCCCTTGTTTGGGGGGCCTTCTGAAATGATGAATTTATCCTACATTTGGGACTGCCAGTGGTGTCAGGAGCTTGTGCTTGGTTGAACGACCACATATAGTTTGCAACTTGAGACTGAGGTTGACCATCTTGGCAAGTAGAAACCTGAGGACCCTCTGGAAGACATGATGCAAAACGGATCAAAACTTTCACCGACAAGCACCATGAGAAGCCGTGTCCTGAACTTGTGATTCTAGGTGTCCAACAATGAACATGTGAAGCATTTGAACTCCCAAAGGCTTTGACCAAAGCCATCCTCTTATCCCTGCAACCTCCGAACCCATGCCTTCGCCGCTCTCCCGCGGTTCCAAGGCACACCAACGCCATCTGTGCTGCATTGTCCGGCGCCGGCTCCTCGGCGTCCCATCCGCCACGGCGGCGGTTGCGCCGTGCCCGGCGGGCGCTATTGCTCCTGGCGAGGTCGGCGTCGTCGGCGTTCGGTTCGGCGCCCGACCGGACCCGGGGGAGTCGTCGTTCGGCGCCCGGGTGGTTTTTGGGAGGGAAGCAGCTAAGGCTTCTATATGAGGGGGAGGCCCAAGTGGAACGCTGACCTAAGCTGCCTTTCGGGCCCACGTGGACAAGCAGCGACCAAGGCACCGCCCCGCATCGGCGCAAACTACAAAAAGTCGGGGTCTAGGCCTTAGCGGTGGTACCGAACTGCTGATTTCATGCGGCTGTTGCCAGCAAAGGTAGCGCATTGCTGGAGCATCTTGGACGCCCAGCTTGTGCCAATAAGTTCCTTGAATCTGAAGGTGAGCTCTAGCCCCTAGAGAATCACTGATAGAGACATTCCAAACTTCCACCTCGAGTGATGCCCACAAAGGTTTGCTTCCACGAAGCATTCCAATGCGTCTTGGAACCCCTTGACGTCCACTGCTCAGCCATCTGCTGCCCCAGCCCGTCCTGCTAGTCTTCTTCCGTGGGCTTCTGCTGGGCTTTCGCTCGGCCTCGCTCGAATGCAAGCGCAGTCCGGCGGAATGGGTTGTCATGGCCATCACAAGGCTTTACAGTCTCCGAGTGCTTCCAGTGACACTTAATCACATGACTGATCCAAAACTCCTCCTCAGGCGATTCTGGTGGTTGCACTGCGTTTGACGGATAGAGTCCCACAAGTTCGTAGGAACTCGGCATGGAATGTAGGACCACTGACCTCCCCGAGATCTTCGATCATATTAGATACTTCAGATACTTGCATTGCTGCACTACCCCTTGTCGGACAAAACGGAAAACGTAGTGTGTGCAAACCTTATCGAGAGCTTTCACAAAAGCTCGTGTCCAGCTTGCCATCGCCTGTGCATTCTGGGAAGATGGTGGCGGTGGAGGTGGCGGCTGATACCTGGACGAACTCGCTAAGGGTAGGAAGGGTATGGCTGGGAGGAGCCTTTTGGCTCACGACCTGTGCCAGCCAAACACACCGTGCCGGCAAAAAATCGCACCTGCGACCCCTCTAACCTGCACCTACAATTTTGGGGTTCCCAAACATACAGGTTCATCTGACTGGGTTTGGCTGGAGTGACTGGATGAGACATGATGAGACCCGACACTGCGAGTTTGTCGGATAGTCATACGGCCCAGTCAGTCAGTGAGACACACACACACTCTCTCTCTCTCTCTGTGGGTGTTTGTCGAATGAAAAAATGAACCCAAATAGAGGCAAGCAGACTACATCCTTGTGTAATAAGTTTGTGTCAGCTGTATGCAGCCTTGTGAAATTAAGTTTGTGTCAGCGTCACCCTTGTTAACCAAACTTGGAGGAACTGATGTTGAACAACCGGCCCCCTGAGTGTCAAGAGGCTGTTGAGGTGTGGGCTCAGGCAACCACAGCTTCATTGGCTGTCCTTAGCAGCTCTGGCCATGGACCCACTTCCCAAAAACCCAGAACAGGACGAAGATGGACAAAGGAATTGGCATCCGGGATGGAGAATAGACACACTCGAAGTGGATGGTACGATCGGGTCAGTGGGATTTGCGTCTCTTTTCAAACCATCATTGTGGCTGATAATTTGGGTTCTCGCTGTCCACAGTGGATTTTTCACAGCGACTGCAACATTCATGTTCGCTTCGTCAGAACTTCATGCAGGAAATGATGAACATGTCTGCAAATCTGGCTTTGGTTGGCGGTTAGGAACAAAGGGCATCGCTACCAGGCCATACTACTAGTAAGTTACTAGTAACAAGAAGCTACTGGTAGCAAAGTGCATTGCTACTAGTAGGCGCTGATGGGAAGGACCAGAAGGCTGGCGACGCCGACGCCCTTGGCGTGCGCACGCATTGTGCGATCTTTAGACCCATTTCACGGAATCAATCATCAACCCCAAATCCCACCAGAAACACTGACCCACCTAGTTCATATAAGGTCAACGGTCCAAATGGCTCATATATCCCGACCTGGAACCCTTCGGGTATTGAATCTCCTGCTGTGCTCCACCAGGACGAGTGCTCCATGTCTGAGCGTCTGATGCTGGGGTGTGGTGGGCCTCCCGGTGGAGGTGGAGGCGCTTCGCCAGACCTCAGCGGTGGTCGAGTCAGGTCTGCCAGGTGAAAAAAGCACCTGCTTCCCATTCCCAGGGCGTGATGAAATCCAAAACATTTCTTTGTAGGCTGGTGTGATGAGTCTCATGTGGTCGTGATGGTCATGTCAACTGGACATGATCTTGGCACACCAAACGCAATCTGGTATGATCGGCGGGGGTTCACACCATCCTCAGAATCATTGTCAACCCCATTCACCCCTCTATGCCCCTACGTCCACTTCTCCAGGTGGCCACATGTTGCCTGCTGACTTCGCCGTGGCCGCATCCCGCGCAGCATCTCGGGCGGTCTCTGCCATCCTTGGAGCCGGATCAATAAGTCTGCCAGGATGAAATCCAAGATGATCCAAGATGCATCAGCAAGTCGAAAAAGAAATACAGCTTGCGCCCCCGGTCCCGCCCTCCCGAAAATCTCCAAGTGACTCCGCACCCCATTGCCCTAGCTACCCCAATGAACAAAAAGATGAATAAACCAAGACCTGGTGGATGAATCACCTTCCTCCTGTGTTCACCACACAATCCGCGAGGCACCTGGAGGCCTGCTGTGCAAAAGCTGCGGCCTCTGCACCCGCTGCTGCGGCACGTGCCGCGCGGGCAGCGGGGTCCTCCTGTGTCTGAACGAGGGTGACTCTGCGGGTGAAAAGAACCAACAAGAGAACATGTAATTACCAACAAACAACGTCCTCAAGAAGAACCTTGTGCCTTCAGTTGAGCTTCAGACTTGAGGCCATGTGTTAATGGGTGGATGGAATTCGTCGATGTTCATCACCGTTTGGAGGCTTGGACCTCGTTCAAGGTGAGGTCATCTGGAGGAGTGAAGTCCTTCTAGCTTGCAAGTTCAGGGAGGCCTACGGACAAAACACAAGAAAACAACAAACTAGCCTTTGCACGGCTTTTGCTTTCTCTTTTGTTTTGTCTAAACGCAGTCTTTTCATCTACCTATCCATATAAGACACATATAATCAGTTCACACACACGTATCATATATATACATATAATATGCGAACGGATGGAAAGGTGTGCCCTGGCCCCGTTCTAGCTCTTAGGTCAACATGAAGCTCGCGCGCTAAAGCTCCTTTTTACCTGGTTGGGCACTTGAGCCAAAAGTATATGGCATGTACCTGTATAGCGACTATACTGGGACCCCATCCCTATTGACACCCCCCACATCCGTACTTCGACGGGGAAGGGAGATGAGTGGATGTAAAAACCGGAGAACGAATCACGTTCTCAAAAGTGTATTGGAGGTCAACCAGTATGTCCTATTGAATTGAATTAGCAAAAGATCTTGCATTCGCTTGAAAGTTGGATCAAACAGGCAATGGAGCTACAAACGGAAAACGTGCACCTACCTATGGTATCATGCGATTACCAACGGTGTGAAACACAATCCTATCTCACTCCCATGATGCCAAAACGGTCATCATGAATTACCCAAGATCCCTCAGTACTTGAAGTACCGGAAGTGGCATGTCGGTATGACCCCAATGCTCAACCATTCGTGAGTTGTCGCATGTAGTCAGCGCCGACAAAGCCAATGTAGTCCTTGATGAGCTCAACGTTCCTTGGATTTCCCGCTCGGATCTGCTCCTCGAAGGACTTCAATTTCTGTGCTTGGATAGTGGATACCTCTATGCCATAGTAGCGGCATGCAACGAGGATCTCCTTCGTGACATTCTTCCGCTCCGATTTGATGGCGGGACTAATGTCGATGAATTTGTATGGAGCGGCACTTTCGTCATCTGGTTTCTGGTAGTAACTATATCGGCTCGCTCCGAAGGTCTTCTTGATCAAACGTCTGATGAAATTTGAGATGAATGCCAATTTCTCGATGATCTCATCCTGGGTCTCAGACTTTCGAGCCTTTGGATCACTCATGCTACGCTGAGTGCTGCCGACCTCTTTGAGGTACTTGTGGCTAAGCCCGCAGCGGATTGCAGTGATCATCATCGGATGAACAACGTGGGCGTGGAATTCATAGATCTGCCACGCTTCTGCTGCAAACACGTCGTCGGTCCATCTGCTCATGCCTACGACCTCGGCTTTCATGAGACGTCTTGGAAACCCAGTATCCGGATCATTCGGTACTATCGGCCATCTATTGTGTGGAGTGTCATGCCGCTGTCCATCGTCGAACATTCGCAGTACATCTTCACGACTCTCAAAGCAGTTGATGTCGAACGTTGCGTTGGCCAAGCCCTTGATCAACTTCATCAACCTCAAATCAAATTGCTGTGTGACGGCAAAGTTGTGGTCGATGGGGATCGCAGCTTCTTGCGGCAGTTCGTCAATTGCGAAGGGGAAAGGCTTCGGAAGTTCATTCCCGTATCCATCTTGAGGGACCTCCCGATACTCGGGTTCGCCTTCAGCTTCGTCCGGTCGTTCCTTCAAAATGATAGGAACTTCCTCCTCTTCCTCTCCTTCGGATTCCTCGATCTCAATGACCTCTTCGGCTGTCTTGCGTGCGTTCTTGATGACTTCATCGATGTTTGCACCTGCAGCAGAAGTTGTTTCACCGGAAGAACTAGCTGGGACATCTTTCGGAGGTGATCGTTGATTGCGGTCCCTTGTCTCCTTGGGTACCACATGTGTGAGCTTCCCATTCGCGATCAAAACCGCTACGCAGTGCGGACATATCGTCAATCGCACATCGACTTCGCCAAGACAGTTAGGGCACGGTCTTGAGTCATAGTCTTTCATTGCTCGGCGGTACACGATCTCCTCGAAGAGTTCCTGCCACTCGGTGCTATCATATTCTGGGTAAACACCACTCTCCTCGATCATACCCAACAGCTTTGAGATTTTGGCGTCGTCCTCGGAGTAGGTATCGTCCTGAACCTCAACCGCTAAACTCTCAAGCTTTTGAAAGCGTGGAATCACGATCGGGTTTCCGTATTTGGACTCCAGAACAAGGTAGCTTCCAGGGTCGGGTTCCCCATTGAGTAACCGGATCCATTCGATCTCCTCAGGCTGTCCGGGTTCCGCATTGTCGCATTGCAACCATGCCCCTTTAACCTCATCGAAGGGAACGACGTTCTCAACCAATAGAGAGCCAGTCGCTGAGATGAGAAGTCCG